CGTTTCTCATATACTATATTCTCTACATTCGTTATTTCTAGCCTTCGTTAAACGATATTAAGTTACGTGTTCTGGGAATCAAAATAAACAGGAGCAGAAATTAGTTCGTAAAAATGTAGAGCGTGTAAAGAGCAGATAAAGACAAGTATTTGTTTTAGTACGAGGAGCCAGGTCCTTCACACCAGGACTGGAAATTAAATAAGCTCAATAGCACAGATGTTCTTTTAGAGGTAGCACCATATATTTAACTGATTTATTATATATCAGATGTTTTGTATGTTTTAAAATGACCTTCCAATGAAAACATAAGACGCGATACATTGTGACAGAGAATGAAACTTTGTACCCATTGTACCCATTTTGTTTGGCGATCGAACTTTGTAGAAACTGTAGACAGATCAAACAGATGCACGAGACTAGCATTGATTGACTTGGTTTCAAGTCATGCCCAGGTCGTGCTGTACCAAAGTCATACATTATTTTAAATAGATTAGAATACAGTCAACTCTCCTCACTGTCACCTTGCGGACACCCCGGTATTGCGGACGCTCGCCATTACGGACAGAATCCAGGTATAGGTCATATAGGGGTTTGACTGGAATTATGACTCCTGCTATCTCTCACTCTCGCTATTACGGAATTACCGACACTTTGGTGGTACAAAGTGTCAATTTTATTGTTTTGACTCTTGACAAAGGGGACACGCTGTTAACTTTTCATATAACATAATTATGTAACATTACAGTCTGTTGTTCATTATTTGCCAAAATACATTTCAAAAGATTTCCGGAATGTTTATTTTCACATCGATTCCTTAAATTGTCTGCACAAATCGTCCTCACTTCTTCACTTGAGCTTACGCTTTTTTCTCGCCGGCTCTTTAGGAGAGCTCAGGCCATCGTGTTCCATTCTCATTGTACATGAAGTTACCTAAACTCATTGTTCATTTTTATAATTAATAGACCTTTTTACCGATACGGCGGCCATATTGAATTTATTAGATTTATGGAGTATTAAGGGATGCCCAGGGGGCACTCGCTCAGTATTTACACAGGCTTTTTGGGCAAAATGAGAACTTCAATGACAATGTTTATCGGCAAAAAGGTGATCATTATTACATCCAAAAAGGGTACGACAATCTTTTTTTCCCATTACAATCTTTTTCTAGGAAAACTTAAAGAAAAATTGGTCCGAAAAGCGCGCATAAATACTGATGCAAGTACATCGGATCATGCTCATGCCCCCTGGGCATCCTATAACACTCCTTAAATCCAAGTAATTCAATATGGCCGCTGTATCGGTAAAAAGGTCTATTAATTATAAAAGTTAACAATGAGTTAAGGTAACTTCATGTACAATGAGAATGGAACACGAGGGCTTAGAACTGCAGTAGCCACACTTTTTTGTTCCACATACTTTACAAATACTACTTGACAAGTCACTCGTTAAAAAAGGTAACGTTAATTTTTTGCCTGTCGAGCCTCCAATTTCCTCATAATAGTGTCAAGAGAAAATCAACCGTCAAGTTGATAGAATTAGCTGAGGCCATTATTGTATGCAAAGATAGTTAATATTTTTTGCAAAATATGTACTTTGTATTTTGATATAGTGGAAGCTGTGGACAACCAGATAGTGATTGTTGATCCCCGAGAGTTTGGAGAAGATAGTATTGAACTAGTAGCTGCTGATATCTCAGCTGAAAATGAGCGCAGTTACGATGCAGAGAAAAAAGACATCAGAGAGGTTAGTAAATGAAGGACAATTGCATGGATTATTTACATTTAATTGATTCACCAATTATTACAGTAATTTGTGTTGATGAGGTCATCTTAACACATAAACTCACATAAAATTTATGTTCGGTCATAATTTATTAATACTTTTGTACAATTTGAATGACTGTGCACAATCTATTTTCATCTGAGCCTTAAAAAGGTTCACCAAGGTTGGTTGGTTAACTTTCCACAACTATTTTTCCATATTACAAGTTTTGGGACAAATAGCTTGCTTAGGAGGTAAAACTCTAAATTAAGGTGGTTACCGTGGAATCTGTCATGCACTCGGCAACCATCCTTTTCAATGTGCAACACACCACCTCATTTATACAACTACATTCTTGTAGCCACCCTGCATTATGGATCAAGATAAAGAGTCACAGTCATTTTATTTGTTGAACATGTTAATGTTAAAGCATTACTACTGGCAGGGCTGTCAACCCCCCACGTCATCAAATATTGAGAATTGGTAGGGAAGAAATGATAGATGATGTCATATCACACGACAAATGACATCATTTGTGCCAAAAATGCTTGTTGATTCCGATTGATGTATATAGCACATAAACTGTTTATATTTAGCCACATTATTGCTCAAATTACAGTGGCATACCAGAATTTATGGGGAAACGTTCCCGAAGTAGCTCAAACAACGCAAAATATTTGAAATTTTATGGTCAGAAAGTCAAGTCTACAAGAAATAGCAATTTTGGCAATTATCCGGGAGATATATCAGACTCTAATCTGGAGATATACTAGACCAGGAGATGACTGTCCACAATCTGGAGTCTCCCAGATTATTTATCTGGGTGAGTTGACAGCACTGCTAGGTTTGTGGACGTGGTGAGTTTAATTAAGTTCCAATAGTGTATTTCTAAGGTGTGAACTCTTTTTAATAATACCTCTCCAGACGGAGGCAATACCAATGAACACCAGGGGGAAACTGTACTTCAGTGATCAAGAGGGGTTGGATGTCAGCAGGAACAAAGTGCAGTCTAGGCCTAAAATTGGTAAACAATATGTACACCTTATTATAACTAATACTTAGTAAGAATAATAATGTAATATGCTTCCAGAATAAAACCTAATACATTCATCAAATTAATATTACTAAATAGCATAGCAAAACCCAGAGGTGTCCAACAGCTACCACAGCTCTTGCTCTTAAGTACCACAGTGTGGGTGTAGGCATTTTGCTTGTACATCCGAGGGTTTAACAACTGGTACTTGGTTTTGAAATTATTTTGTTTCAAAGGCCAGCCAAGTGACTTAATGCTGGCAGTGCCAGATTAACAGTACTAATATAGATATCAATACCAGTGGTATTAATATTAATATTGTCTTAAAGGAAGCATCATGTACGGTTGATCTGCCACAGGATAATTTCACCAAAAAACCCTGACTTTTTTCACCTAAAACCAGGCTGGATTAAGGTATAAGAACTGCTATAAAGTCAAAAAATGACCATGTTTATAAAATCACGTATTTGAAATGTACTCTTAACCTGAACTCAAATTCCAAAAATGAAGCATTTTTGTCAAATATAATCCGAGAAAATGAAGGCCAAAGTTGGTATCTAAGAGCGCTTTTTTGCAAATATTTATAATCACAGGGCTGAAATCTGACGTGATACTTTCGGTTGTTGACAGAAATGTTCCAATTTTCACAACATGCCACGCGATAACGCGTTATGAGTTTCAAGTAACCCAGGGCAAATTATAGCAAAATTCGCTTACTTTCTGCTTCCCCAAATTAAGTACGATTGTTTTTATATTAACTTTTCTAAATCATTTCTATGGCTGTAAAAAGTCTTCACAGAGTCACACCAGATATATGATCCTTGTAAGGTCGATGACAGATAAGGCCGCAGTTTAATGATCTATTATGCAAATTAGCACGTTGCTAAGGCTAAAACATTGTTTATGACGCCATATTGAGAGCACATCACGAAACGAGTTCAAAAAAGATTTTCGTATCTTCTCACCACAGGTCAGTGTCACAACAAACATTAAGAACAGCGGTTTACTCATAAGAATTCAAGATGGCGACAAAGAAAACAGCGCAGCGCAACGAAAATTAAGGGCAAATTAAGGACAATTTTGCGGCTGTGTTGGACCGCACTGAAAACAAATCCATGTAAAAAGATGAGGATTTATAATACCGCGCTGAAACTTGTCAGGTTTATTCACATAATGTAAAGGAAAAATGTATTGAATTCCTGGCAATTCCCGGAATATTTTGGGAAGGGCACTTCAAAAAGCATTCACATCTATATTTCAGGAAAAATTTACTGGCTAGTGCTAGGATTTAAAGGTAAATGAACAAACTAAGTATAAGTCAGTTTCAATTTTTTTTATTCCTAGCTATCGAGAGAAAGCCAGAAATACGGAATTATTGAATTTTTGAGCCTGCGATATAAATCGGAAATAACACCTTAGGTGTGAAAATTGACACCTCGGATATCAATTTTCTGAAAGCTCAGCTCTCGCTCGATAAGCCTGTGTAATTTTTATTTTGCAAAATTCTTAAGCATTTGAGAAATAAAATTTTCAAATGGAAGGGTTTATAGCAGATCTAATACCTTAATGAAGCATAATATTATATGGGCACTATACATGCAGTTTTAAGAGTAGTGGCCAGAAGCTAAAATTAATACATCCTAATCCTGTATTAATGTAATGAACATCGTAATATCGCATGCAATTTAAATTCAACAGCAATAAGTTACACTGAAGCTAAGGTGAAAACATGATATGTCTGGTAAATTAAAGCAAGTTGTTTATGCAGCTTCCTAGCTATAATGAATGAGAGTAATCAGCACAATTAAATGAATCCAGATCAAACTGGTTGTATTATATTAACATCACCATTAACAAAGGATCAGACAGAATCAGATTTTGTCAGACTTGGAACTAAATCTGGGGTGTTTTGGAAACAAATAGGATTCCCTGACTTATGAAGACCAGTGAACTTTTATAAGACAGCCTAATAATTGGGGAGGAATTGATTATTAATTAATTATTAATTCCTTTTCTCTTTCCTTTTAGTGGTTAAACTTAATTATCAAACTTCCCTTTGGTGCCTGCACCTCACAGAAAGTTTGCAAGACTGTATGTAATCTAGCAGTCTACAAAATTGTCTTTTCTTTAACAGATTGAGTCACCCCTTCCTAACCCACAAGCAGGATATTGGACCAGCTTCTTACTCTTGGAAAATGTCACTTTTATGTTAAATAAGATTTGCTTTTCCTCATCAGATGAAAAGATCAAGGGACACATGACAACACTTGAAGAAATTCTTCAAACTCCAGAATTTGGAACCTTCCACAATACTGGAAAGGAGGTCAATGGTAAGCTGCTACTGTAGATAGAAGCTATATATCTGATAGAGTTTCTGTTAGCAATTGTCTTTGCTAAGGTAAACTGAGTCTCCTTAACGAAGTTTTCCAAATTCTTTGAGCTTTCTTTGAAACTAACTCTGACTGTAAGTAATTAAAGCAGTCAGTGTTAAGATATTAAATATTTTATTGGGAGGCTTTAGCATCAACAATGGCGACGGCAGAGTAAATGTCACTTCTAAAATGAATTCACATTTTTTAAACTTTGTTGCATTTATTCCAATTCGCTGAAAATATCAAAGGTCGGCGAATTTCCCGGGAGCTGATTTCTTGAAAACCACACTCAATTTTAGTAAGAGTAAGAAAAAATTGACGTCACTTGTTTACGTCCTCCATAAAACATGAAATTAGGCATTTTCATGTCATAGTCATACAGTGACGACAAAGAAATGTACAAAAAAGTCTGGTGCACATGCAAAGTTGTTGTTTTGCTAATCTAACCTATTCCTTTTTTGACGTTTCCATTGCTGTTGCTGTCGTTGTTGCTTAAGCTCCCTATGAAAGTTAAGATGACTTTCAGCTACTTTGTTGTTGTTGTTGTTGTTATCACTTGCACCCAGTTTAGCAGTCCAAAGCTGATCTTTGACTGTTTTTACTTCCTGGTAGAGAGACTCCTAAGTGCAATTGAATATGCTTCAAAGAACTCCACATCTCTAAATGCTGTGAATGACCTGCTAGGCTCCTGTTTTGCGGTTCTCCTTGAGGCTTGCCATGGAGTTGCGGACAAATTTGTACTTTCAGATGATGTGGTGACAGCATTGGCAGACTTCAAAAGATGTGAACGTGAAAGATATGACCTTCTGAAAAAGACAGAAATGGATAGTGCTGAAGAAAAGAGAAAGGCAGGGGAGGACCTACTAGGTTTGATTCACATCATTGCATTTATAAAAAAGTACTAATTAACAATATTATTGGACAAGGTTGAGCAAAATATCGTGATTTGTCAGTGGCGAGTAGATCAATTATTTGCCGAAACCGAAAGCTGAGGCAAATAACTGATCTGCGAGACACTGACAAATCATGATATTTTGTGATAAACAAGTTCAATCACTGAGTTTAATGAAAATGTTCAGGAAGCGAAACAATCTGCCATTTTCACGCAAAAGTGATTGCAAGAAGGAGAAAAGCGTGGTTTCCTTTACGCATGAGCAGAATATTATTTGTAGCCAAACACAGTTGAACGATATTGCGCATGAGCAGACCATTATTTGTAGGGAGTTAATTGTAGGTCACGTGGTGGGCTCTCGGCCGATGGAAAGAAAGAAATACTTGCATCAAATGATAATTTAAATTATTTTTGAAATTATTTTGAAATCAGTCTTCCAATATTCCAATAAAAAATGTCTTGTCCAAGGTCGACAAAGAGTCAAAGATTTGTTATATAATGGGTTATTTTAATAAAGACCCAGCTTCTAAGATATGAAAATTGTAAATACTCAAATCAGTTGTAAATCATATGATGTCCGCAATGTTCTTACCTATGACTGTTAAACCTACGCGTCAATTACCAAAACCACTGCAACACTTATAGACAATACATTTACCAATGATAACAAAGGCACACATCTGAATGGAATACTCTTCAACAATTTATCGGATCACTTACCTGTGTTCTCAATTTCTAAGATGAAGAGTTATAAGCCTAGTGGCAAAAATGAATGTTATTTCACTAGAAGGCATCAATAATGAATCTGCTGCTTCATTTGAAAGAGAACTAGAAAAGCAAACTGGTGAGAGGTAATTAAAACAAATGATTGTGAAGAATCTTATAATTTATTCGTGAAAACCTTTCACGAGGTGTAAAATAAATCATTCCCATTAAAAAAGGCAACAGTAAAGGAAAGGAGAACGACTGATTGAATCCTTGGATTAGCAAGTGTATTGTTAAGTCATCTAAGCATAAATTTTAACTTTACAAAAACTTTATTAAAAATCCAAGTTAAGAAAATGAGGACATTGATATAAAACGTACAGAAATAAGCTTAATCATCTGGTAAGGAAGGCGAAGAACTTTTACAATAAGAAATTTAATGGGGTAATTTAAAGCAAACGTGGCAAACACTGAATGAAATTGTAAGCATGCATAAATATAAAACTGCTTTACCTCAAGATTTTCTAAATAATGGTAAAGCAATCAGTGATCCTTTAGAAATTGCTGATCAATTTAATGAGTATTTTATCAACGTTGGATTGAGTCTTGCGAAAAAATTTAACAGAAGTTCAGCAAATGTCATGAACCATTTAAGAGGTACCTACATAAATTCAATGTTTCTGAATGAAATGACAATATTAATGAGGTTGCAATTAAAGGAAATAACAATTATAATACAAAAAAAGGTTTTGGCATTGACAGGTTGAGTCTAATTAAAGGTGCTGCAATGTATTGGAAATTATATAAGTGAGTTGTTAACCCACATATTCAATTTAAGTTTTAGTACTGGCAAGATCCCTCATGAACTAAAAGTCTCACTAGTAATGCCAGTCTACAGAGCAAATGACAACAAACAACTTACCAACCACAGACCCATATCTGTTTTAACTTGCTTTTCAAAGATTTTGGAAAAGCTGATGTACAAAAGGCTTTTAGATTACATTGAGGAAAACAGCATTCTATATGGACATCAGTATGGATTTAGAAGTAAGCATTCAACCTCTTTTTGAACCATGAAACTCACTGAAAAAATGAAAATGGCAATAATTGAGAACAATGAATCTTCCTGGACCTATCTACAGCATTTGACACCATAAATCACAACATACTGTTGCAGAAATTAGGATTTTATGGCATAAGAGGTCTATGTAATGACTGGTTCAGAAATTATCTTGCCGATAGGCAGCAAATTGTTAAATACAATTCCACCTATTCTGAAAACAAATCAATAAAATATGGAGTGCCTCCAGGCTCTGCACTAGGACCGCTGCTGTTTCTGTTATTTATAAAATGATATTCATACATGCTCGCATTTGTTATCTTTCATATTATTTGCCGATGATACTAATCTGTTTATTTCTGGCAATTAAGAATATTGAAGGACTTGAAACCCATGTAAATGGGGAAATTAAATGTGTACAAGTACGGCTTGTAAACAATCAATTAACTTTGAACGTAAAGAAAACTAACTACAGTTGACTCCCGATAACTGGAACCCTCGCTAACTCGAACCTCGCACTAACTCGGACCAAAATCGATTTCCCCTGGATTTCCGTCATACATTTACTGTAATTTTTTACCCTCGGTAACTCGAACCCTCGATAACTCGAAACTAACTAACTCAACGTAATTTTTGTTTCCCCTCAGATCATATCTCTATAATTTTACCCTTGATAACTCAAACCATGTTTTGAGCCCTTAAAAAGTCGGGAAAAAAGAGTGTACTGCCTCCGAAACATTGAATTTTGAATTTCCCATTGACGTATTGTAGGCATATAGTTTACTAGTGGATCGATAGTGGAGGCTGATGTTGTTTGCCACAAATATAACGTGAAATAGCTTTACTTCTCAAAAAGTAAAATGCATGCTCTATTTAGGCAACGTTTTGTTACTTTACGTTCTGATTTATAATCTAACAGTATCTTTCAATTTTCACTCAACATTTTTACTATTAAATGTGATTAGAATACTCACGGTGCAGTAAAAACTGTTTTTTCCCTTATTCCCGGCTTTTTTCTTTGAGCTCCCGATAACTCGAACCTTTTTCGATTTCCCTTGAAGGTTCGAGTTATCGGAAGTCGACTGTATATTATATTTCAATCCCATAAGAAAAAATGTAAGAGAGAATTGAAGATTATGCTGAATGAATATGAAATAAAACAGGTACATAACACTAAGTTCTTAGAAGTAAGGATTGATGAGCATCTGACGTGGAAAAATCATATAAACTACTGTAACATGTAAAATAGCAAAAACAGTAGGAATTTTATGCAAGGCTCGCCATTTTATAGGGAAGGATTTATTATTAAGTCTGTATTTCTCATTGATATACCCTCACCTTATTTATGGTAATATTGTCTGGGGTAATAATTACAAAACAAGACTTGATGGTCTAATCAAAATTCAAAAGAAAGGAGTGTGTGTGATAACTTTTTCCTCGTACACTGAATTATCAAAGCTGCTCTTTCAAAAATTGGAGATCCCTAATTTTAGTAATATTATTAATCAATTAAATAATCAGTATGCTGCATATGGCGTCCAGACCTGATTTAAAAAATAAATAAATAAATAAATAAACAATAGGGCAATCTTTTAAAAGCCCGTAAGGGTTTCCTAAATTCCCCATATTGATGTAATTATCTTTGTTTAATATAATAAAGTTAATGTTGTTGAATATTAAACCAATTAATAGTGCCAGACTTAATATTGAAAATCCAGATGGTATAAAAACCAAAATGAATTTAGTAGGTTACAAAGTTCTCCCTAAGCTGTCGTATAACTACAAATTCTCAGCCCAGTGATATCCCTAATATATAGTAATTATATGACTAATTAACCTGGTTGAAAAAAAGGGCATCAATGGCTCAAATTGCTCTGAAAACAATTGTTGAAGGTATAATTGAATAAAAAAGGTCAACTATTACTTTTCCTAAGTTGCACCCCAGTGTATGTAATATTATTATATAATAAACCAAAGGCTACATATTAATTTACCACAAGTTCTTATAATAATTAAATTATATTATTGTAACTGAGTTCTGCCTTGCTTCCACTCAGGACAATATTAATGGAGTTTGGATAGAGTGCGAGCCAGCGAGCCATGCGAGCCAGCGAGCCATGCGAGTCATACAAGCGAGCCATGCGAGCCATGGCAGCGAGCCATGCGAGCCATCTGAAAACCTATCTACACGAACGATAAAACCGTATCGTTTTCAAAACGCGCAAAGCGTTTCTAACACATTTCTAAATCCTTTCTCTTGATTACATGGTATGCCACTTTTAAAAAACTTCAAGAAAAGACAGTTAAGCTGCCAGCGCGCTCTTCTTCTCCACCACCATTTTTTGAAGTTCATCATTTTAGCTGGGTCCGACGAACACCTTTCAATGAGAGAGTCTAGAGCTTTCGACAGCTGACAACAGACTAAAGCAAAGGTCAATCAGGTAAATACTCACTTTTAGAAGCAGTTTATTGCTAGATTGATTCTACTGAACTGGATTGTCCAAAAGGATTGAAGATTTTTTGAAGATCCGGCCACGAGCACGCTGAACGGTTCGTAAGAACGAAACAGGAAAGAAAGACTATCAGAGAGGGGAGAGAAAGTCAAAATTTGTTGCTCTCCCTCGACCCAGACTGTTCGCGTCCAAAATAACATGGCCACCGCGTGAGCCATCGCGGTTTAATAGTCGCGATTGAAAGCACATTTCCAGCAGCAAAACCAATTACAAAACAAACTATTTCCAATTAGAATATTATTAAAAATTTATATTTTCCTATGGCTCGCATGCCTCGCATGGCTCGCACGCTTCGCATGGCTCGCTGGCTCACAGATTATCCGGACCCATATTAATGTTATCCATAAAATCCTGCATTACAGATATCGCTATATCAAGAGGAGAGCATGATGTCAAAAGAGTACTAGACCGACAAACAAGGATGGAAGAGGCACAAACTCTACAAAAGTTCATTAACAAAAGACAAGAACTTGATGAAGATATAAACAGGGAGATTGAAGATTTGAACATGATGACTGAGAACTGTGAGGTTGACATTGGTACAATAGGTAAATATTATCAATATATATACAGCTTATTGAATAATCAACACTGTTAAAAAATATTGAATAACACATGTCCTCATCATTTAGTGCTGTCATCATTAATATATATTGATCCTACTTTCAACAAAAAAATTAATTATCCTCCATGTCAAATCATTATTTAGAGGACTTCAGAGGTGATGTTGATAACTAATAAAGCTTCAGAGTTACACTTGTATCAAGAATCTGTCATAAAACAGTGTTATTTTCTCTTTTTTCATTTAAAAAGGTAAAAATCTTGACACTCTTCAACAGTCTGCAGAGATAACCTGCAAGAAGTACAAAGAGAAAGACAACATTTTGTGCAAAGAATTACGGGAGAACAAAGCTGAACAAGACAAGCTACAGCAGCGTCTGAATGAACTCAAAGACCAGGAAAGGCAGTTGGACGAAGAAAGGAATCAGAGAAAGAAAATTCAAGAAACAGCTGAGTTGGTGAGATTAAAGTGGGTGATATACATCTAGCTGAGTTATTAAAGTTTTGGAATTATTTGGAATTTTGGAACCTTAATATATACCTACCAATTCTTATGCATTATGCATGAGTATCACCCTTGCAGACTTAACGGCACCTATCTCATGCATCAAGGACAATTTCTCCCACCTGACTGACAAATCCAGATCAATTGTTCTTGAACAAGTCATAATTAATAACAAAGATTCAATTTCCTAGAAAATAATCCAGAAACTAAAGGCACTTAAGCTTAATGTTGACTTTATTCTGTCCTAACTGTACCTCAACATGCTAAAACAATATTGTCACGCTTGAAATAGTTTCTGATTGAAGTGCTCAAAGATTGTTGGATCATCTTCACACTATTTCAACAATGTTCAGAGTGTTTAAAAAATAACTATTGATATTGGCTTGGGTCGCTGGGACATTTTCAGAAATTGCAGTCATGACAAGACGAAAATCATCTGACATATTTGACTCAAAAAAAGTTAGCAACTACAGTCTGAGATTATAATGTCACTCTGTGATTAAGGAGGTGTTCATTTATTAATTGAACAGCTTGATAGTATTTGGACTAGCTGAGGTCTGTCAACTTTTTAAAACACTCTTGCCCTTGTGCATTGAAGCTAAGAATTCCTAGGAATTTATTCTTAGGAATTCTTAAAAATTCCTAAGAATTCCTTGGAATATAGGTGTGGAATTTCAAGGTAATTGGAACATGGAATTCCTAGGAATACCTAAGAGTTCCAAGCTTTGCTTTTCCTGGGCTGTTATTACGGGCCAGGGCCAAGGATTCCATGGTTGTCATGAGCACGACCTCTGACTATCTTCATAGGACAAGAAGAAAATAAAACCAAAAGAACTTCTGAGCTGTTGAATCTTGGCCTACTAAGTGCATATAATAATGGCGTACTTTTATGTTCAGATCTATGAACTGATGTGTATAAGGAGTGTGGTTAATCATCTCATCTGGAACGATGAGTTGACCTTTTCAATGATACCCTATAACTATAATTTGTTCACCCACAGACAGAGCAAAAAGCCAGGGATGAGCTAGAGAAGTGGCAACAACAAATCCAGGACCTACATGACAAGTGCCAGGCTGCACTGTATGTTCTGTTGGAATTTAAAGGTCAGACATGACTTCTTTCTTTTTTTACTTGAAAAAGCTTGACTGAAGAAGAAGAAAAGACCTCTGGTTTATAAAATTGCTGTGCAAAAAGAACTGTCACTAACAGGGAGTTGTGGTTTGTAATGATTCTGGCATTAAACAGGTCATTCAACCAGAACCTTTTTTCCTTTGTCCCTTAATTTCCTTCAGTGTATAAAACAATGCTATCACTTGTGATGTTGAGCCCTTAAAAACCAAAACTGTAAGGAACTGAGTTTCTCTACTGGCGTATTTCTGACAGTTGTTGGACTGGTTGCAGGGGGGGGGGGGAGTTAGTAATTTTGTTTCCCACCAAAAAAAATTCACTGAAATAAAATTTAAAAAAAAAACTTCTTCAAATACACAAATTTTGCGGTGTTTCCCACTCAGAGACTTTTGATGGGACGCATTTTCATTGTTAGATGCTAAGTGACTTTGAAGTAACCAATAAGAGCAGGTGCTTCACAGAAAAATTCCTGTGCTACAACAAAAAGGAAAGCCCAAAGGATTAATGTCAGTCATGGACTACTAATATAGTTATTACATTTAATATTGACAAATTGGAAAGAAAACCAGTTAACGAAAACAAAAAAAAACTTATGATGTGTTGTGTCAATATAATTATTCTTCTTTAGATGGTTCCAGCAAACTAATGGAAGCATCCATTGAAAGCAAAAGGAAGGAAGAAAAGGAACTCCATGAGAAAGACATTGCAGCCCATAGACGCTTGCGAGATGCAACTGCAGCGGCTGCTGTAGAGAGCAAGCAGTGCATAGAAGACTGTCAAAACAACCTAAAATACCTCAAAAAACAGGTCTGTCAAAACTGTCAAAATTAAATGCTAACAAATACCCCCATAAAATGATTTCAAGTCATTGTAAGGGGGGCATATATAGTACTCACTCTACAGCAATCATTAAGGTCCATGCTAACATGGAATAAAGACAGTGTGATGTGTCCAAACACGTTTAGAGTATGAGGAAATGTGTAAATGTTAAATTTATTGAGTTAAGCACAGCTTCTTTTGTTTATGTAATTGTGTACATGTACATATTAATAATAATTTAGTATCTATTATGCTCTCAGCATTGATAGAATTCCACCTTAATATATCAAATGGAAGTGATTAATAGAATTAAACAGTCATGGAGAAATCATATTAAACCTTGTTTCCCTTGACTACAGATCACAGATCTGAAAGAAGAAAAGAGGCAGAAGGCTAGAAGTGGGCTAAAAGTCATTGTTGCTGAGATTGTGGAGAAATTGAAGAAGTATGAAGACTTTTACAGCCATGATAAACAAAAGAAAGCCAACAATGAACAAAAGTTTGAAGTTTATAAAAAGAAGATGGAAGAGTTGGATGATAGGTTGACACAACTTGGAGAAGTGACAGAGGCTTTTGATGATATCTGTAAGTAACTTATTGATGATTAGTAATTTCCTACTCAAGCATTGATATGCCATCATTTATTCACTGATTCATTCATTCAGACAGCCTCAGCCGAGCTAGACCACTCTTTTTGTCTTTGTCCATGCAGGCTGAGAGTTCACTGGTGATGCCACCTCAGCCTCCCTTATAAGATTGTCTGTGAATGAAGACACTGAGCGACTGCGTCATGGCATAGACTGTGGCTATGCCATCATAGACATAGACATTTTCCACAAACACAGCGGTTGTTCATGATTAAACAGTCATTTGAAATCAAAAAAAGGTTTAAGGCACAAAATGATGATTTTATTACAGCTGAACAGTGTTTTCTCTAAAGCATCAAGTTTAAATTTCCACCATACTGGACAAAGATCGTGGGTTAATGGTGAATTGTCACTGAAATGCAGAGATAAAGTAAAAAATGTACAATATTATTTTATCATTTTATTCCCAACAGATCACCGAGTGCAAGAAGAAGTGAATGCGCTCTGGGAAGGTGAAGGATTCTCTTCCCTGGAAGATTAATTAAAGCTTTCAGTTCATTTCAATTTCTTAGGCAATCTAGAGAGCAATAAGCTTCTGCTTAAATCCAAAGAAACTACTTAAACTCTCACTCAGAGGAGAGTTTAAGAATAATAATGAAAGTGAGGAAAAAGCTCTTTATAGAGCCTTATTCTTTTTTTTTCACAAGATATTTTGCACACTTCAGATTATACTCAAGCTTCGCTAGGGTTAAAAGCCACTTTCATGCAATTTACTTGTATAAATATAAAGGTTTCGTCATCTTACAAGTCATACTAAGGAGAGTGGTATGGGATACAAGTCAGTATGTTATGCAATGCTTTCCCCATGGTATCAATCGTATGAATATACCAACTGTGACTTCATCTTTTTTTGTTTCCAAATGTCAAGCCTTCATACTGAGAAAAATCATGTTACTCATAGGAGATTTCAGAATATACTGCTTGAAAGCATTGCATAACTACATTTGTAGTAAATGCTGATCCACATGTAAAAGTTGCATGGATTGTACATTGTACAGGTTGAAATGTATTTTATAGCTGTTAAAAGGGAGTATTAACATTGATTATAATTATTCATTTAACATATTTTACCATTTCTGATTGGCTCCAATTCCCGGCTAATTCTTCATAACCAACTGGCATTGACTGCAAGCAATATACCATCAATTCAATGCTATAATATAGTCCCAGCAGCCTTGTTTCCACGCAATATCCTCATTACTACAGAGTGCAGCAGCCTGCTGGCTGTTTACATGCCTGAGTGAACTAAACAAAAATGGTGTTCACTGCTATCTGGAGATGAAATGGTCAAATTTGTCTGACAGTGAATCGAAGAAATGCAATGGTATATAAAAAGTATGCTTGATGGATGTCTTGGGTGATGAGATATACTTTTTAAGGATTATCTGCAAGAAAAATCATCTGTTGGTACCCAGAAGCTGTGCCAGGAAACATGCTGCGCTAATGTTTGAGGGAAGTTTACAGGGAGGCAATGGCTGCTAATTAGCCCTTACAGCCACCCCTTCGGTTCCCCCCAGAGGAAAATTTTTTCTTGAGTGGTGGAGGCGGCTGTACATAGGCTACTAGGTTGCTATAAGATCCTAGAAATATTTTAAATGAATAATAAGTCAATCATTTAGTTCGGCTTTCATGATGGGACACATTATGCAGACCTCGAAGGGTGTTATTCATCATTCTCCATCTGCATAATTCTTAACATTAGACAAAGACCGTGATCCTACCTGTATACAGACGTTGCGACGAACTTTGAAGAGAAAATAGAGGGTCTGTGAACAGGCTACCAATCACTGGCGATAAATTGGTTCACTACCCGGGTTCACTAGCTAGATTGCCACGCTAGATTGTAGGTATCCGTAAGCTAATACCGTGTATATTAATGACTTAACGTTTGGTTTGAAAAAACTTGCAGTTTCTGTAGCTTGCACGTAAGGATAGACAACTGAAATAGATGTTAACTTACAAGAACTGCGTGTGAGAGGAATGATTGCTTGTGGTCCGTAAAGCTACGACTCACCTGCATCACTGATAATATGATGTCTTACATTGTTAACTCTTCGTGAAATTAAATGTAAAACTAGCCATAAATAGAGGGAGAATTGTCTGTTCAAAGTGGCCCTAAACACGGTTTACACCACGGTATCCTAAGTCAATTTCCCAGGGTTCGGTAGGTACTTGATGTATGGGGACATATATTGTACCGACTTTACTTGCATGCTCCCTAGCCTTACCTTCACTTTTTGTGCTTGGTTCCTTGTTACTACCTCGATGCCTTTCCCTTCTTACTCTGTCACCTTATTACTCTGTTCCCTTGTTACTCTGTCACCTGTTACCTTTTTACTAGCCTGCGAAAACATCCGTTTCTCCTCGCTCTTTGCCGCTGTGGACGTTTCGCGCGGAGGAACGTCTGCGACTCAGCGACAGAAATTCTCCTGGTCCATTTTGGTAAAGTGTTGTGTTCATCTGCTAACGAGCTGCAGCAAAACTCAAATGGTTGATCTAGAGAAGGCTATATTCCACAAATATTGACTGTTTTGTTAGAGATTCTTCGCGTTTACATTTGTTCTTTGTGGCCTTTTGTCTTTTGTCTGTCATTCGTAAACAATAGCTAAAACAATGTAACTACTCCTTCGACCAATCAGGGCTTCTGACCGGATTCTGGTCATATTTTACGTCATCACTATGGAATTTCGCAGCCTACCTTGTTACTTTCTTACCTTGTTAGTCTGTTCCCTACCCTGTTACCTTGTTACTCTGTTACCCTGTTACTCTGTTACCTTGTTCCCTTGTTACTCTTTTGTTCTATTCCGTTGTTACCCTGTTACCTTGTTACTCTGTTGTCATTTTTTAAAATTTAAGTTGATCTTTTTGTAACAAGTCGCAATTTTTTTCCCAGATGGACGTGTTTTTTGGGAGTAAGGTCGTGGTTAAATGGTTTGCATTACTAATCGGTCTTCGTTCACAGCAATTAGCAGCAATCAGCTTTCTTTGGTAAATCCGTTTCCTCGTACGGAATCTTGTTGACGGAAATAAAAAAAAGTTTACATTTTTTAAGAAAAGCTCTTGGACAATGACGAAGGCTCTCTGTCTCAATCCTATGGCAGCTTAAGTCTTTTATAGTTTCTTTTGGCTTTCATACTTTTATCATGATTTTCCAAACAATCGCAGATGCCGTTCAAAGGTTTACGAAAACGGCAGATTGTCTGATATCTCTCTCCTTCACAATTTTCAAATCTAAGGAAAAATTTCTAGAGAAGATCAAGAAGGGCGACAAGAAGGCCTCAAATTTCGCAAAAATCGAAAAAAATAATAATTTGTCTTGCCATGTGAAAAGAATTCCCCTTCTTGGCCTTTTCTCTTTCCAAGTCTAAATAATTTTTTGCAATATTTGTTACTCGGTGCTGTTACTTTTACGATTTTTGGGAAATTTGCTGACTTTCCGAGGCCTTTCGTGGCCATTTTGCTTTCTAAGTCTAGAATTTTGTAAAATTTGTTATTCTTGCTATTTTTGCAATATTTCTTACTTGGTAATTTTAGGTAGCAGGAAAAATCCTTGTTACTTTTACGATTTTTTCTAAGTCTAGAGATTTGTTAAGTTGGTTTTTCTTGCTATTCTTGCGATATTTGCAAGTGATTGTCTCACAAAATTTTCTGGTGAATTATTTTCTTTGCGAAAATTGGGAAGAGAACTTGCTAACCAGATTTTCCTGGACATATCTCAATTTTTTTCCTTATAAACTGTCAAACAAGGCTGGGGAAAGTTATACCTTACCACAGTCTGATCCGTCCTAGGCATCGCAAAGACAAGTGCGCTCTAACTCTGACATGTGTCGCGTATTACGTCTACACCAAGAGCCATACACACATTCCTACATACCTTAACGTAGTTCAAAGGGATGTACTACACATATTTTTTTCAAACATTTGGCTCAGTTGGAATGTTCGAAGCAGGAACCACCGTCAACAACTATTATCGTGTAACACAAATAGTACTCTGAGGTATAATTTTTTAGGAAACCGACTTAATGAAAAACAAATAAAGGTAACAGAGCACAAAGTAACGAACTAATAAGGTAAAACGGTAACAGGGTAACAGAGCAACAAGGTATAAGGGTAACAGAGTAAAAAGGTAACAGGGTAACAAGGTAAAAGGGTAACAGAGTAACAAGGTAACAGGGTAAGTAGGTAACAGGGTAACAAGGTAACAGAGTAACAAGATAAGAGGGTGACAGGGTAACAGGGTAACAAGGTAACAGGGTAACAGGGTAAGTAGGTAACAGAGTAACAAGGTAACAGGGTAACAGAGTAACAAGGTAACAGAGTAACAGGATAACATGGTAATAAGGTAAAAAGGCAACAAGGTAACAGGGTAACAAGGTAACAGAGTAACAGGACAACAGGGTAATAAGGTAAAAAGGCAACAAGGTAACAGGGTAACAGGGAAACAAGGGAACAGAGTAACAAGGTAACAGGGAAACAAGGGAACAGGGTAACAAGGTAACAGAGTAACAAGGGAACAGAGTAATAAGGTAACAGGGTAACAAGTTGACAGGGTAACAAGGTAACAGGGTAACAAGGGAACAGAATAATAAGATAACAGGGTAACAAGGGAACAGAGTAACAAGGTAACAGGGTAACAAGGAAACAGAGTAATAAGGTAAGACGGTAACAAGGGAACAGAGTGACAAGTTAACAGGGTAACAACGTAACATGGTAACAAGTTAACAGGGTAACAAGGGAACAGGGTAATAAGGTAACAGAGTAACAAGGTAACAGGGTAATAAGGTAACAGGGTAACAAGGGAACAGGCTAACAAGGTAACAGGGTAACAAGTTAACAGGGTAACAAGGTAACAGGGTAACAAGGGAACAGAGTAATAAGGTAACAGGGTAACAAGGGAACAGAGTAACAACGTAACAGGGTAACAAGGGAACAGAGTAATAAGGTAAGAGGGTAACAAGGGAACAGAGTAACAAGTTAACAGGGTAACAAGGTAACATGGTAACAAGCTAACAGGGTAACAAGGTAACAGGGTAATAAGGTAACAGAGTAACAAGGTAACAGGGTAACAAGGTAACAGGGAAACAAGGGAACAGGGTAACAAGGGAACAGGGTAACAAGTTAACAGGGTAACAAGGTAACAGGGTAACAAGGGAACAGAGTAATAAGGTAACAGGGTAACAAGGGAACAGAGTAACAAGGTAAGAGGATAACAAGGGAACAGAGTAATTCTGTAAGAGGGTAACAAGGGAACAGAGTAACAAGTTAACAGGGTAACAGGGTAACAAGGTAACATGGTAACAAGTTAACAGGGTAACAAGGGAACAGGGTAATAAGGTAACAGAGTAACAAGGTAACAGGGTAATAAGGTAACAGGGTAACAAGGGAACACGGTAACAAGGTAACAGGGTAACAAGTTAACAGGGTAACAAGGTAACAGGGTAACAAGTTAACAGGGTAACAAGTTAACAGGGTAACAAGGTAACAGGGTAATAAGGTATAAGGGTAACAAGTTAACAGGGTAACAAGGTAACAGGGTAACAAGTTAACAGGGTAACAAGGTAACAGGGTAACAAGGTAACAGGGTAATAAGGTAACAGAGTAACAAGGTAACAGAGTAACAAGGTAACAGAGTAACAAGGGAACAGAGTAACAAGTTAACAGGGTAACAAGGGAACAGACTAACAAGGTAACAAGGGAACAGAGTAATAAAGTAACAGGGTAACAAGGGAACAGAGTAACAAGTTAACAGGGTAACAAGGTAAAAGGGTAACAAGGTAACATGGTAACAAGTTAACAGGGTAACAAGGTAACAGGGTAACAGGTTAACAGGGTAACAAGGTAACAGGGTAACAAGGGAACAGAGTAATAAGGTAACAGGGTAACAAGGGAACAGAGTAACAAGTTAACAGGGTAACGAGGGAACAGAGTAACAAGGTAACAGGGTAATAAGGGAACAGAGTAATAAGGTAACAGGGTAACAAGGGAACAGAGTAACAAGGTAACAGGGTAACAAGGGAACAGAGCAACAAGGTAACAGGGTAACAAGGGAACAGAGTAACAAGGTAACAGGGTAATAAGGGAACAGAGTAGTAAGGTAACAGGGTAACAAGGGAACATAGTAACAAGGTAACAGGGTAACAAGGTAACATGGTAACAAGTTAACAGGGTAACAAGGGAACAGGGTAATAAGGTAACAGAGTAACAAGGTAACAGGGTAATAAGGTAACAGGGTAACAAGTTAACCGGGTAACAGAGTAACAAGGTAACAGGGTAACACAGTAGCAAGGTAACAGGGTAATAAGGTAACAGGGTAACAAGTTAACACGCTAACAAGTTAACAGGGTAACAGAGTAACAATGTAACAGGGTAACAGGGTAACAGAGTAACAAGGTAAAAGGGTAATAAGGTAACAGGGTAACAAGTTAACAGGGTAACAGAGTAACAAGGTAACAGGGTAGCAAGGTAACAGGGTAACAGAGTAACAAGGTAACAGGGTAATATGGTAACAGAGTAAGAAGGTAACAGGGTAATAAGGTAACAGGGAAACAAGGGAACAGGGTTACAAGGGAACAGGGTAACAAGTTAACAGGGTAACAAGGTAACAGGGTAACAAGTTAACAGGGTAACAAGGTAACAGGGTAACAAGGTAACAGGGTAATAAGGTAACAGAGTAACAAGGTAACAGAGTAACAAGGGAACAGAGTAACAAGTTAACAGGGTAACAAGGGAACAGACTAACAAGGTAACAAGGAAACAGAGTAATAAAGTAACAGGGTAACAAGGGAACAGAGTAACAAGTTAACAGGGTAACAAGGTAAAAGGGTAACAAGGTAACATGGTAACAAGTTAACAGGGTAACAAGGGAACAGGGTAATAAGGTAACAGAGTAACAAGGTAACAGGGTAATAAGGTAACAGGGTAACAAGGGAACAGGGTAACAAGGTAACAGGGTAACAAGTTAACAGGGTAACAAGGTAACAGGGTAACAAGTTAACAGGGTAACAAGGTAACAGGGTAACAAGTTAACAGGGTAACAAGGTAACAGGGTAATAAGGTAACAGGGTAACAAGTTAACAGGGTAACAAGTTAACAGGGTAACAAGTTAACAGGGTAACAGAGTAACAATGTAACAGGGTAACAGGGTAACAGAGTAACAAGGGAACAGGGTAATAAGGTAACAGAGTAACAAGGTAACAGGGTAATAAGGTAACAGGGTAACAAGTTAACAGGGTAACAGAGTAACAAGGTAACAGGGTGATAAGGTAACAGAGTAACAAGGTAACAGGGTAACAAGGTAACAGGGAAACAAGGGAACAGGGTAACAACGGAACAGGGTAACAAGTTAACAGGGTAACAAGTTAACAGGGTAACAAGGTAACAGGGTAACAAGGTAACATGGTAACAAGTTAACAGGGTAACAAGGGAACAGGGTAATAAGGTAACACAGTAACAAGGTAACAGGGTAATAAGGTAACAGGGTAACAAGGTAACAGGGTAACAAGGTAACAGGGTAACAAGGTAACACGGTAACAAGGTAAAAGGGTAACAAGGTAACAGGGTAACAAGTTAACAGGGTAACAAGGTAACAGGGTAATAAGGTATAAGGGTAACAAGTTAACAGGGTAACAAGTTAACAGGGTAACAAGGTAACAGGGTAACAAGTTAACAGGGTAACAGTGTAACAAGGTAACAGGGTAATAAGGTAACAGAGTAACAAGGTAACAGAGTAACAAGGTAACAGAGTAACAAGGTAACAGAGTAACAAGGGAACAGAGTAACAAGTTAACAGGGTAAAGAGAGAACAGACTAACAAGGTAACAAGGGAACAGAGTAATAAGGTAACAGGGTAACAAGGGAACAGAGTAACAAGTTAACAGGGTAACAAGGTAAAAGGGTAACAAGGTAACATGGTAACAAGTTAACAGGGTAACAAGGTAACAGGTTAATAGGGTAACAAGGTAACAGGGTAACAAGGGAACAGAGTAATAAGATAACAGGAGAAAAAAGGGAACACAGTAACAAGTTAACAGGGTAACAAGATAAAAGGGTAACAATGTAACATGGTAACAAGTTAACAGGGTAACAAGGTAATAGGGTAACAGGTTAACAGGGTAACAAGGTAACAGGGTAACAAGGGAACAGAGTAATAAGGTAACAGGGTAACAAGGGAACAGAGTAACAAGTTAACAGGGTAACAAGGGAACAGAGTAACAAGGTAACAGGGTAATAAGGGAACAGAGTAATAAGGTAACAGGGAAACAGGGTAACAGAGTAACAAGGTAACATTTTAATAAGGTAACAGGGTAACTAGGTAACAGGGTAATAAGGTAACAGAGTAACAAGTTAACAGGGTAACAGAGTAACAAGTTAACAAGGTAACAGAGTAACAAGGTAACAGGGTAACAAGGTAACAGGGTAATAAGGTAACAGAGTAACAAGTTAACAGGGTAACAGAGTAAGAAGTTAACAAGGTAACAGAGTAACAAGGTAACAGGGTAACAAAGTAACAATTTAACAGGGTAGCAGGGTAATAGGGTATCAGAGTAATAAGGTAACAGGCTAATAGGGAAACAAAGGAACAGAGTAACATGGCAACAGAGAAACAAGTTAACAGCGTAACAGGGTAACCAGGTAACAAGGTAACAGAGTAACAAGGTAACATGGTATCAAGGTATCAGGGTAACATAGTAATAAGAGTAAGTTATATAACATAGTAAAAGGTCTTAAACAGTGGAAAAAGTAAGAAATCAACAATGAGACAACGGATTCAAGTGAAATAGATAAAGTCGGTACAAAATATATCCCCATAAATTCAGCATCTACTTAGGGTTCTCTCTTTTTCTATCTTAATTCAAGAGAGAAAACACTGGGAACGAGGTTGTGGTTTCCCAGTGAAAGGACGTCATCAACAATACGACAATCAGAAGCACTACCCAGATCTGGGAAGTGAGGAGTGAGTGACAAGTCAAAAGTATGGAATGTCAGACGTCACCAGTGCTGCCGACGCGAAATGTCGGCTGTTTGCTCAGGCCAATACTAAGGAGAACGTCTGAAATGGAGCGGTTGCTTAGCTTGGCATCCATTCAAGTCTAAGGGGGCCCCGTTCAAACCACTCAACGATGCTTCCTACCTTAGCCTGTACACAGCTATTTCCCCGATTTGTTGTTGCTTTTTGAGGTCAGGGGACAACTGTATTCGGTTATCCCTCCCTCGCGCGAGACACGCGGGAGGATTGCGGAAGCCCCTGCAATGTATGCAGCCTGCATGCAGACGTCTTATGTGCGACTGCGGAATTGCGGAGAAAATGTTGGCCACAAGGACGACACGGTGAGAAGCGTGGAGAGAAGAAAAGAGAAAATTCTCTACAAAAATTTATCACGTCGTTTGCGCTGATTGGTATGTTATGAACTTTTTCCCTTTCGACGTTTCTTACCATCCAAGCGAACGAAGAAAATTACTTCTCTTTATCATAAAGACTTTTGTTCTTGGGCCTTCGTAGCTTGATAAGAAATGGAACACAAAAAACGGTGATAAAGATATTCCACTTACTCATTTTTACAATAAGGAGCTTCATTGGTTTACTGAACGAAACGCAGTCAGGCTAATTCAAAGGTGTTTTGTCAGATGCCAATCCCATATTTTCTGGAGTTCCACAGGGAAGTATATTGGGACCGCTATTGTTTACTATCCATTTTAATGATTTACTATCCATTTATTGTTTACTCTCCATTTTAATGATGTGGAAACGCCTCTTCAGACAACCTCAATCATCACCTATGCGGATGATACAGTAATTTTCACGGCTGCTAAAGATCTGGAATCCCTTCAAAGGCGTCTCAGTGAAGATTTTCACAACCTGTGCTTCTTGGTTTCATGATAATGAGCTTGTCCTTAATCTAAAAAAGGGCAAAACTGAGTGTATGATCTTTGGTACTGCCAAAAGGCTTAATGCATTGAATGGAAGACGACTAGCTTTGACTGTAAATGGAACACTAATTAATACCACGTCATCCTATTAATACTTGGGTCTAAACTTGGATTCATCCTTAAATCTCGGATCACATTTTGACAAAATGTATAAAAGAGCAACTGGAAGATTTAATTTACTCTGGAGAATCCGACCGTTAATCCACAAGAGCAGTGCTGAGGAAATCTACAAAGCAATGATTCAACCTGTTTTTACGTATTGTGGAACTGTGGGTCTCTGTTGGTCACGTTCCCGTAAGAGTCGAATTGAAAGCATTGAACGTCGAAGTCAGAAAGTTATTGGTGGAAATTATCAAGTCCAGACAGTGGAGAGTTTAATAAAGAGACAGTCCTGCCAGCTTGTGTTTGATTGTCTTCAAGATAACGTCTGTACCCCTTTTAAAGGATATTTTACAAAAATTGAACACAACATAACACTAGAAACAATGACTGTTCACTAAAACTTCCCAAAGCCAAATTAGAATTTGGACGGAGAAGTTTTGCCTTTCAAGGGGCTCTAGTTTACAATACTTTACCTCAACATTTGAGAAATTTAAATTCTAGGTTTCTTTTTAAGAGTAATTTAAAAGAGTTTTTTCAATAGTATTCCATAATTCACAACTCTTTTCAGTCTTATAACTCAATAATTTTTAAAGATTTTGATTTTTGAATCTTAGATTTCTTAGTGTTATTTTATTTTATTTTCCTCTTTCGATTTTATTCTTTATTTTTTAGTCATTTGTGAGATCAGTAATTACAGGACCCTTTTGATAACAGTTCTTTTTATTAGAACTGATAGGTTATCCAGTATAAATATTCGCGTTATTATTATTATTATTGTTATTACTACAAACTTGACGTTTCGTATACTACTCGGTATACATTTTCCAAAGTACTGTTACAATTGTGAAAACTATACTTAAGACTTAAGCTTATATATTAGTGAAAAGAAACTGGGACCGAGATTAAGCACAAAACTTAACAGTTAATCTATAAAAAAGAAACAGCTAATAAATAAAGCATCAGCTTCTTGCTACTGATGTTTACATAAAATGTATGTTGAGTAGCATACGAAACGTCAACAGAGAAAAAATTAACCGACTACCGACATGGTCCAACATTGTAATTTTCGATTCCGGGATTTTTTTGGGTAGTAAAATCCGGATTACCCTACTGGGCAAAAACCCTACCCTTTCACTGCCCTTTGGGGCGGCACCTTATGGGAGTACCCCCGGGGAAAAGCCCCTATAGCTACCAAGTATTTAAGAAAAATACTCTAACTTATATTGAAAGAAAACTCGTTTCAATTTTGCAGCAGCAACTACCTACAGTTCACCCATGGAACAGCCATGGGAACAAAGATAGCGGTTAGTTTTGCGAACGCATTACAAACCAACATAAACTTTTCAGTACACGAACATCTACTCGTGTCACCCACCAGGTGTGAAAAAAGGCTTCATTAATATAAAGGAGACATAATCAGGTTTCTAAGGACTTATTCGTCTCAAATCACCTTTGAGAAATATATCAAAATTTCGAAAATCGCCTGATAGAAAGAGGATACCTTGCCGCTATTGTGAGAAAGTACCTCTCTGAGGTAAAATTCGCCAAGAGGAAATCTGCCCCTCAAGAGAGAAACAAATCCGCCCTTAAAAAAAACTATTAAATTTTGTTACACGATACTACTCAGCTTAACCTTTCCTAACGAAAATACTAATAAGGAAATTGCACCTTACACCTTATACAAAACAAAGGAGCCTCCCCTCATATCACATCGCAAGGAAAATACGTTGAGGACCTATTCGTTAGAGCGAAGCTCTGAAGGTCAGATAACTTGATTTACGACCAAGTGTATGAGTCTGTTGTTGTCTGAGATGTGTCAAGCTTGATTCCGTGCTTTATCAGTGAAGTCCATCCAAGGGAGTCCCAGGACTGCCAGGAGACCCAAGAGGATCGCAGTGCTGTACGTCAAATTCCCCACCCCCCCATCCCTTGTCATCACGCAAGTTAGAAAACTCTAAAATCCCCTTCTCATCGATATCTCCCCACTCCCACAACTTCTCATTTTCTCCCTCCTCCCTAAATTTTTGGCCCCAATTTCTCCCTCCTCCCTATTCTGTACTTCCCCCTCTGTATACCCCTAGCATAGATATGTTGTATTTTTAAAATCGTATACATATCACTTGTTCATTCAGTGTTTTTTAACTGCAAGAAAGTGAAATACACTATTTATTACATGTATTATTATTCTTATGTAATGGCCACAAACTCGTTAACACCACAAGTAGTAAATGTGAAGTAATGCTGTTCTATGTAGGATCATTTATTGGTCGATACCCACTGATTATAATTACCATTGGTAATGAAACGATTTCATGGGTATGACGAATGACGAAGCATCCGTTAAACCGTAGTTAGATAGGAATGCATTATATTTTTCTAGTAAACACGACCCCTCAAGCATTTTAAAAATAATTACTTATCGTGTTTAAATAAAGCATATTCGTGATTCATTCATTCATGGGACTGCAGAGTCC